AACAAAGAATTTGGTCCTTGTCTATTGGTTCAGCCTCTCCACTTTATTAGCTCATCTGGGATGTGAGATTTCCTCTATTTTATTTCACAGTAAATTTGCTTCCTCAGCATTCTTCAGAGTCAACAGGAAACTCCTTCAGGGTCCTTCCTTCTTGTTTTTTGTGTGGTCCCCTAACTTGATCATCTGCTGGGAAGCTACTGTGTAGAATGGGGGTGGGGGAGGGTGGAATATGGCCTGCGGGCCACATCCAGCACTCCAGGCCATTCTATCTGGCATGCGGGGCCCCTAAAAAATTTAGAAAATTAATATTTATCCCTGGCTGCCTGTCAAAGATGACAGGAGCCAGTGGCAGTAGGACCCAGGGGAATCCAGCGACAGGGCCCTACAGCCACAGCAGCATGGCTGAATTTTTTTGGTTGAAATAAACATGTTTTTCACACATGTCCAATATTGCCAACCCCACCTTGTCAAAAATTATGAGACGAAACTCTTAAAAATCAAGAGATTTGGAATCTAAATCATAAGATGCCTTTTTGAAGTGTGTGTGTGGGGGGGACATTATTTGTTAAGGTGTGGGGGGCTGTGGGTCTGTGTGTGGAGTTTGAAGTCGGGGGGGGGGTCCCTACACACCCTGGCAGGATGCGGGATACTATGGGTCAGGAGCAAGGGGCAGTAGCAGGGCTGGGGGGTCTCCTGCTTGGGAGTGAGGGGCAGATGCACAGACACACAGACAGAGGCAGGGAGGCAGGCAGGATGGGTTGTAGATTGTGCAACAGAGCCTTGGGTGGCTCATCCAGAGGTGCCGGAGGGGTGGTGGGAGGGGCGCAGCTCCCCGCCTCTGTGCACGCCACCAGGCAAGACATAGGAGGCACATGCCTCCTCCCGATTTGTGCCTGGGGTGGAGGTGGGCTGCGGGCTCTCCACCCTTCTGACTTTGCCCTGGGAGTCACGTAATGCCTCTAGGTGGGAAGGGAACGTGCAGCACAGCCATTGTGTGGCTTCTGGGGCAAAGGCAGTAGTGTGCAGAGCCCCAGCCCGCAGTGGGCTACCTGCCTCTGCCCCAGGCACAAATCTGCGGGGGTATGTGCTCCCCATACCTCCCTCAGGGGTGTGTGCAGCAGCAGGGAGCCACACCCTCTTCCCCACGCTCCTGGATGACCTGCCCAGGCCCTGGGGCCCCATCCACCCCGGCCCCACTCCCTCCCTCACCATGGGAGCCTCAATCTGCCACCCTGCCCCTTCCTGCTCCCCTGCCCTTTCCCCTCCACAGGCTTACCAGCACGGCACTACTCTACACATACCAGAAGAAAAAAATCCTAAGATTTGATCTCTCGATCATGAGTTAAAGGTAATTTCATTTATCATGCAGCCATACAACTGGTCAAGGCTTTCCAAATTTTAATGAAAAATCCAACTGAAATTTCAAAAGAAATCAATTTTTAGTGATTCTTTAAAATCTTTTTTACCCGGATAGGATTTTATTTTTTAATTATTTATATTCCCAATCTTACCAATGGTACCACTCATTAGTTAACATGAGTCACAGGTAATAATTTAAATTTAGTACTTCAACTAACTGTGCTGTACTTGTGGCAGAAAACAATCTGTTTAGAATTTACCTGCTAGGAAAACTGTATTTTTTAAATTTTATATTTCAATATAAATATATTTATTTATTTATTTTCCTGGAAAGCTATTCTGAAAATAGGCTTCATAATGTGCAACTAGAATTTTCAAAACTGACTAAGCAAGTTATATATCTTAGTCCTATTAAAATTTAATAGGCTCTTGGCCCATAATTCTCTACAACTCCTCTTTCTGCAGTCTTAACTGTATTGCTGAAGAATGGTGTAAGAAAAATAGGCTTTTGCTTGCTGTGTTCAATAAGGTCATTTTTAATTTAACATAAAGACAAAATACATAGAGTTTCTTAAAATCAACATCTGTGTGTGGCTGAGTCTTTGCTTCAGACTTATTTTCACCCTTTATAAAAACGGAGTGATTCCAGCAAAAATATATGGGCGTCATAATTTTGGTTCTTCAAACTTGGAAATATTTCTGTTTAAAATTCATTTTTGCATATCTCAAGATGATTGTGTCTTAAAATGTAACCTTGCTGTTTGTGGGTGATCTGAATGGAAGAAAAGATTCCTCCCCCCCTCTTTTTTTCTAAAACTAACAGAAAGAACCAATTAAGGCAAAGCTAAGGAATTGAATTCAAAGTTTGTATTGCACATGTGAACTAATCTTTTTACAATGGAATCTTACGAAAGCTGTGTAAGAATACCATTCAGGCCCTGTCTTATCCAGCAAATCCTCCCCAGAAAAGGAGCAGAATTGAAGAATTGTCATGAGCAAGCAATAAAGACTTTCAGAGAAGGGGTTCTATACAGTCTTCTTGTTTGTCTACTAATTCATTTCCATTCTCAAATACTGTATAATATCCTAATTAAAAAAAAAAAGAGTCCACTGCTGATCATAATAGGTGTGTCAGTTGTATTTCATGCAAAGAATAACCTTTACAGGGTTAGATTCAAGGTTTAAGTGAAACATAATGGAACCCCAAGGAGTAAAGGACTACTGAATAAATGTAATGTATTCTCTTGTGTTAAGTTCTGAAGTATATGAATCTTTGAACATACTGAAATAAAGAAAACCATGTGTTTAGTAGTAGGTAATTTTGTATAGCTGAAGCAAAATGTCTGTGTGCTTCTGATGCTGCCACTGCATTTAGAAAGAGCTTTCCTCAGCTCCTGAAATATTAATGACCAGGGTTTAATGTAGTAGGAAACAATATGTTTCATGAAACAAAGGGAAAATTGAGTTGTAAAATTTCAACCTTACCGTGCTAACTGTTCCCTTGATCCCTCCAAACTATAGATGAAAAAAAAAAAGGATAGAAATCAGGTCGTTTCACAAAATGGTATCCTCCTTCTAGTTTTGTGATTTAAAACAAACGCTAAAGCCATAGCAGACTCTCCTTCTATTTTGTTGGACTGGGTTATTGTTTATAGGCACATCTTGATATTAGAAACAGTCAAATGGTAGTCGTTCATGTAATGGTTGGTGTAAGGCATTAGTAAAAGATAAATAGTTGAATTTTTAAAAACGCAAAAAAGAAGTTGAGTTTGCAAAGTAAATGTGATTAACCATAGTGTGTGTTTTCAGTTCTCTATGTCTAAATTTTGCCATTTACAAATTATTCTGGTTTGAGTTATAGAAGTGCAAACTAGAAATAAAGCCATTGTTTTGACTAGAGCTGCAAGTAAGTGATTTATGCTGGTGTAATCCAGTTCAGAATTTGTTACTTTAATGTTGGTGGGGTTTTTTTAATCAGTTGCATAAGGGGTAGCATTATTACTTCAGCTTCATTAGACATTGCAACTCAGATGTCAAAAAATAAAAGGTAATTTTGCCCTTGTTTGGCAGTTATTCACTACAAGCACAATAACTCATTTTACATAAGTTGCTTTTGTTTACTGTGACCAACTGAGTGACAAGCAGTACAGTGGGTTTGTATTTGTGTTCAGGAACTAATTGTGTTTGATGTAGGGAGCCTAGGTTTGACCCAGTGCTTCTTCCTTTCAAAGCTGTGGTTTCTGATTGGAACCCCAAGGCCATTTGAAGCAGAGCCAAAAAGCACCTTGCAAGTTGAACCTTATCTAATTACGTGATGCGCATAAATTTTGGAAGCATAGATCTTTATCATTGGAGAAATGCATTTTTATAAGATTCTTTGGTCCAATGAAAATTCTTTGGTCCAATGACAGCCAAATAAGGAAGAGGGAGATTGATCTCACAGTGCTCATATTGATGATATGCCACATGTCATAAAGTTTGGACTTAAGTAAATTCCGTAAACAGCTTTGGTTAATAAGAATGAAGTAATGCCTTTACACACATGTTGCTAAAAGTTCTGTCAATTTACCATTAAGAATGTTTTTTTTCTTTAAAGCGAATTTAAAACAACTTGCTTGATGTACATGGGGAAGGAGAAAAGCTTTTAATGGAAATACATCCTGCTTTTTGAAGGCATGCATTTAACAACAAAGGAACCCTAAAGATAGTGTAGGTGATAAATGAAGAGATGTAAGAGTGAGTCATGCTGTAAATATTGGGAATAAGCCTCCTTGTTTACATGTCTGTCTTCATAAAAACACCTAGATATTTTCTCTCTTTCCTTAAGGGTTGACAGCCAATGGTGTTCATTGACTTTTATCTTTAGCCAGGGGAGAGCTTTCTAAGATGACATACCTGTGGACCCCTATTAAACCATGTTGCTAGTGATACTAATGAGATTTTTCCAAGTGATGTAAAAGTAGCCATTCATATAAGCATTGCATTTATGAAGGCGATGTCACTGAAAGCTTGGCAACTGCACCTAGGATTTAGTTCCAGCAGAACAGCTATTGGTATACCCTGATTTTGAGGAGGGAGATCATGCTGATTTCCTCCTTTGGGAACAAAGAGCCAGATTAATCCTGCCTTGCCAGAAGGGAGACATGCCATTTCCTGACATGTTAGACGAAGAACCTCCTTGCCAATCACAGTGGGTGCCTATTCCACTCCATCTCAAAAATTGGCAGCATTGACCAATCAGCCTACATTCCTTAAGTGGTCATAGAGTTAAACAACTGTGCCCTGTTTACTGCACTGTATGTATGTGTGCATGCAGGTGGGTACAGGAGGTGTGATGTGTAAGTCCATGTATAGCTCAAAGATGAACCAGATTTTCCAGCAAAGTCAGTAGAATAATATGTTTGTAGGTGCTGTTGTAATGTCTCCAGGCCAGCTTGGTAAAAGACTCTTGTTTGAACTAGAGACGGGCATCCCTGGAAGCAAAGTTGACAATTAAGAGGTGGCTGGTTTGTTAATTTTTCACCTGGGGCTAAGTGGACATAATTTAGTTTTGTGAATTCCTAGACTTTGAATAAATGATGCAGCAATTTATTGTCACATCCTGGGAAATTAACACTCTCTGTTCCTGTCTCTCCATCTAGCTTGCAAAATTGGATACTACAAGGCTCTCTCAACGGATGTTGCCTGTGCCAAATGCCCACCCCATAGCTACTCCATCTGGGAAGGCTCTACCTCCTGCACCTGTGATCGGGGCTTTTTCCGAGCGGAAAATGATGCTGCCTCCATGCCCTGTACTCGTAAGTCAGGTTCTCTTCTCTCTTTCTGTACCCTACTTCTTCCTCTCTCTCTTTCTGCCTTAATAATTTATTTAAAAAATATTCCTTTGAGATACCCATCCCACTTAGAGAAGAAGTGCTCTAGTAGTGATAACAGTTTTTAACAGCGATTCCTTTTCAAATGGGTATATCCAACCTATCAGTACTGGGTCTCTTCCTAATGTAAGCATGTAATGAAATTCGTAATTAATGAAGGATCAAATAATTTCTTTTTAAAGTATCTTACCAGTAATCAAAGGTCCTGTTTCATGCCTCATTTATATTTTGGTGCCCCCTAAAGACTTCAGCCCAGGTTGAAATTTTGTTTTGTTGGACGTGGTACACACACAGGAATTGAGAGAGCCTCTGTCCCAGACAGCTTACAGTCTAAACGGTCATTACAAATGCCATTTGGAAGAAGAGAGAGGCACAGAGATGAACTGACTTGCCTACGGTTGCACAACAGGTCAGTAGCAGAGTTGGGAACAGGAACTAGAGCTCTTTAGTTTCAGTCCAGTGACCTCTTCCATCAGATTACATTATCCCTCAGGCTTTTAAATATTAACATTCATCTGTATTGAGATACTTGCACTCATTAACTTCAACTGAAAGACAATATCAGGGTGTTTAGTGAGACGGTCACTATGAACGACTTCATATTTAGACTCTGATTCTTTTAAGAATTGTAAAACACCTCCTTTTAACAACTCCTCCTCCTCTGTAAATCTACCAGGCATTTGCCAACTCTTTTTGGGCAAGTGACAGAAGTCATTTAGTGAATCTGTGTTTAAGTAACTACTCCGGAAGAAGTCTCTAAGTTTGTCCACCTGTCCTGACATGATGTGGAGAGGATGAACATAAACATCAGAGGCTTTTTCAAACTGATTTCAGGCTTTAATCAGTTCTTACCAGTTGGTTAAACCAGGTGACAAACCCAATTCCCTTGTGCTGACAGCCATAATAATCAGGCACCTTCTTTGTTCATTATGCTCTATTTAACCCTGGTATTCTCATTCAGCCCTGCATTTAGTAATCGCTCAGTGTGACGGCACACTAATGAAGAAATAAAACACAGTATCTGAGATCCATTCTTCTAGCAAAAAGATAGACTCTGCTCCATTGGCTTGTAAAATCAAGTTTCTGTTCACTTCGAGGACTATTAGACCAGACGAATAAAAGTAGCATTGGGTAATTTGGAGGGAAACACCTGGAATGGGCTATGGATTGATCACTTTTTTTATTATTTCTAATTTTTTTTTTTAAATGAAGAACTTTAAACTTTCTGGATATGCGGGTGGGTTTTTTGGGTAAAGGTTTTGATGCTCAGGTATCAGATTCTTTTAAAAATAAACTGTCTGCTCTCCTCACTTTCATCTTGTTTTCTAAATTAGGGGAGGAAGACTGTTGCAGCTTTCCATTAGCCTGATTATACCTGAATGTGGGTGAGAGAGAATTAGAGCTCCTTTTTTTGTCTTACACAGTTTACATGGCAGGTAATAAAAGCTACACCAAATTCCTGGTGCACTAAACTCAAATCTGTTCTCCAGAGTTTAGAATATTGAGACTTCAACCCCAGTGTCAGGGATTTGATGAGGAATATCTTTATGTTCTTTGTTTAGTGTTCAGTCCTGTAAACTTATTTAAATCCTTGCTTGTGTCTGTGTCCTGTAAATATGGGCCAGATATTACTCCAAATAATGCTAGTGTAAATCCAGAGTAATTCAGATGAAGTCAGTATTTACTCCTGTTTTAAAACTGGTGCCTGAGAGACTGCAGATATGGCTAAGCAGGTTTGCATGGGTGTAGAGGACAACAGACTTGGGGCCACAGGTTGTAGTAGGGACCTGATGGGAGGACAGGTGTAAATTCACAGACATCTTTACTTAGGGTTCAGAAAATACCTTTTCCTTCAAGCTTGTCTTTTTGATGTGTCATTGCTGAGAAGAGGGGCCCCTTTATCCTCGCATACAATTCTCCTCACTCTGGATTTGCCTCATTGCCCAAGTCAGGAATTCAGACTTGCAATTCTGAAGCACAGTGGGCTTGTCAGCTGTGTGCTTGGGCATGGAGACTGTATGAATGACCTGTAATACACTTGAGCACAAACTGGAAAACATTGTCATTGTTTCTCTCTGGAAGCATGGCAAAAGTTGTATTAATGCAACTCTTCAGGTCTTCATTATACTTTAGTACTTGCTGAGAAGATGGGTCTGTGTCACAAGGTTAGCACTTTAATGGACTGTAAATTGCCTATGGAATACACAAATCTATGAAGGTAAAAAGCAACCAGTTTCAGTCATGATCCTCTTTCCTGAATTTGTCTTCATCTGCGAGGGTGCAGATTGTAGATGGACTTCACTAAATTCTGTACTGGCTTAAGTAGGCGTTATTTCTACTCGGTGAGCGTTGCTCCAATTTTACATCATTTACAACAGTGCTCTTTAACTGCCTATACAATACATACATTTTAAGATGGTACAGGACAGTTTTGTATTGTTTATATTGTCTGTTTGATCAAGATTGTTAATAATTTTTAATTTGGAACATTTTACAAAAGAGATTAGTACTATAGACTGTCCAACTTGAAATCTGTGTAAGTTAATGACCTTGAATAATTCAGTCTGTTGTGCCATCCAACCAGAGACTGATTGATTAATATTTTGGTATAGCCTAAAATATTCCAGAGGTGCTTAGCGCTAATGAGGGTAAATTTAACCAGATGCATGGCAAAAGTATCTGCTTAAAAAAAGCTTTCTTCAGTGTAGGTTATCAAGAAATCGAAAGAACTCTGCTTCAAACAGCAAACGTCACTTAGTTTGTCTTTACATTTGCCTCTTCTAATTGAATTTAGTGCGCTGCTATATTTCCTCCAGAAAGTATATTGTTTTTAAATTACCATTTCAGTCCTATTACTCAAGGCCCTTGCTCCTAATGCTTTCTGACAGTTATCAACATAATGAACCATAATGAAATGATGAGCAATCTACAGTGGAAACTCGATGTGGATTCCACTAGTGCTGTGTGACTGTTGTTAAAATTTGAATGCAGATTAAAATAACACTGTCCTTATTTGTTTCCAAGGTCAGGAATTAAAAAAAAAAGGGCCTGAAAAGTCTAAGCACTTTAAATTTGCAAATATTACTGTCTAATATACATCCTTGATCTTATCCCCTCACCTCCTCCCGCCCCATGTTACACTAATAAATATTTCATAGAGAAAACTTTGGCCTATATTTAAAAAAAAAAAAAAAGGGTGCAGTTACATGCCAAGTTTTCATGTACTAGTATAATAATCATATATACAAGTGACTGATTATACAAACAGCTCTCTTGACTGCCCATCTACTTACTATAGCTGTTTATATTTTTTTATATAAACGAATATGCCACTCATTTAAAAAAAAAAAAAGGACCTTTTCTGCCTGCTAAACAGACTCTAATTGTCACCTCTTCTAATTTTATATAAGTTTTGGTCAATCGTTTATGCAAAGAAATGAGAAAATAGAGCATATGATGTGTGGTCATTAGAGGCTCTGGGTAGCAGGCAGTGGTAGCAGAGATGCATTTTGCCCAAGGTTTTCCACACGCTTGTTCTAACAACTCACTTGGATTGCATTCAATGAATAATTCTACTGGCTCATCTACAAAAGATACACTTTACAATAGATGAAGTTTACAATCGTATGTGGCAGCATCCTGTTTTCAGAAGATGATATTTCCACAAGTAATAATGCTGCCCCATCTTTACAGAAGATCGCTGTTCTTAAACAATTGATTTAGGCCATGTATAGCCAATACATTTGTATTGGGAGAATTGCTGCTGTGCCAGTAGAAAATGGGAGTGTCTAAAGTTTGCTCATTTTTATTGGGGGGGAAACATGTTCTTCCAAGAGAGATCTTCCAGGTGTCATTCCCCTTGTGGGTCTTATAAGACAGGTTTTGTTGTATGAGGTTCCACTTCATTTTCAAGGAAAAACAATCCATAATTCATAGCTAATGTAGATTGCCATTCTATATAGCTTCTTTGTACAACCTATGTCTAAACAATGCTTAGAGTAAAATAATTTAATTGCAAAGACATACCAGTGAAGAGAAAAAGAGATGCATGAAGCATAGGCAGTAAGAGGAGAGAGGTTTTTTTGTTTTGTTTTGTTTTGTTTTGTTTTGTTTTAGATGAGATCAGGGAAAATTATTTGCTGCAGATATATTGGAAGCTATTTCAATTGGCAGGAATTTCACAGGAGATGTCTTTCTCACTGTACCCAGTGACATCTGATGGAAGTTTTGAGAAGCTGGGTAAAGGAAAGAAAAAATAACTCCTTAGAAAGGGATGGAATAAGTCTATAGGAGGTTTTAAAAGCAAAGATGGCCCAGATTCTGATATGAATTGGGAACCAAGGGAGTTGCCTAAGGATGCATCTTTAGAATCACTGGCACTATAATCAACAGTCAATTAAATTGCAAGATCCACTTGTGATATTAGCCATTTTCTGCTTCTCTTTGTCCAGAACTTTAAATTAGTACTGACTGACTTGGGAGTACAGATTATCTTGGGAGTCTGATGTGGCCAAAAGCAGAGTCCAATAATGCAGCTCATACTAACAGAAAATTCCCATTTCAGTAAATCAGAGGTGTTCCACAGTAAAGAATTCCAGAATTACTCCAGTAACGTAAAATTATGTTTGTTTTTTTTCCAGTCCATACCCTCTTCTGTGAAAACACCAAAGAATCTTCTCCCATCTATAGTGGGTTTGGGCTTTCTTTCTTTTCACCAAAAGAGCAATTGTTTGGATAGTTGTTCTTGTCTGCAGCATGCTAGTTAGTGAAGATGTGGTTACACACCTAAGCATATCTGAAAATGCGAGTAGCCACACATGTTCTTAAAAGAGTTAGCTACTAGAGGAATGAGGGGATTCAGAGTCCCTGCAGTGGCTACATGTGAGCCTCAGGCTAACAGTGGTAATTAGAGCTTCTCAATAACT